GGGGTCTGCAGGCGGGGGATTTGTCTTTTTGATCCTAATAAACGTTATGGAATTAAAAAAAAAAAAAAAAAAGACTGGGCTTATCTTGTTGGAGTATTTTTCATTATATGGACACAAAAAAGTTTTTAGTTTTCAGCACTGTACTGCTGAGGCAGGGGTGACAGGGTGTCACAAAACATTTTGCTTTTGCACTATAGTAGCGTTTCACTTAATTTGTTGTTAGTTTTTTTTGTTTTGAATGGTATAAAAGTGTGAGCACCTATTGAGAACAGAATCACAGTACTTTAGAGCAGAATTAGCATCGCAGGAGAGCTTGAGGTTTATTTATGCGCTGCAGAGCAGGTTTTGGCTGGCTGGAAGTGGTTGAAAGACAGCAGGGAGACAGTGAAAGAGGGCAGCAGGGTATAATTCCCTTGCAAAGTGAACAGCCTATTTGCCTTTTGAAAAAGAGACATACTTTGGGGTTGATTTACTAATCTGTAATTAATTGGCAAAGTTTTGCTTTAAAATATATACCCATTTTCTTTAGGGGGGTTGTATGACATTAGCTAATGTGCACAACCTGCTCTTGTAAGTGTGCACTTTCATCCAGACTTAATGAACTTCTGGGTTAGATACCAGATGGATTACATTTTAAAGTTTTAAAGCTTTATTTCCCAAAGCGCATAACCAAACAGAACATGATCCATGAAACCACAGTGCACACATGAAACAAACATGCATTAGGCATACAATATGAAGATTTTAGTGAAAGCCATGATGTGACTTGTATATGACAGCAGAATGAGGAGCATGAGGATCTTTCATAACATGTCTGCATTGAACCAGTAAATTGGACATAACATGATTACCACTTGGCTCCTTTTAACTATATGATTGCATCTTGTCAGATCATAAACTTTAAACATCTGTCGCTTTCATTCAGTGCAATAAAAAAAGCAGTTAAATAAAAATAAAGCCAGTTATTAAATATAGATTGTAAAAATATACTATTCATAATATTATACTATAATATTAATGTATAGATTATTAAAAACTATAAATTGTAAAAAGAAGTAAAATGTTCCTGTTTTTCCTGATGACTGTGCTCGATGTACCTATACATACAGGTGAAACTCGAAAAATTAGAATATCGTGCAAAAGTTCATTTATTTCAGTAATGCAACTTAAAAGGTGAAACTAATATATGAGATAGACTCATTACATGCAAAGCAAGATAGTTCAAGCTGTGATTTGTCATAATTGTGATGATTATGGCTTACAGCTCATGAAAACCCCAGCTCAGAAAATTAGAATATTACATGCAATCAATAAAACAAGGATTGTACATAGAACAATATTGGACCTCTGAAAAGTATAAGCATGCATATGTACTCAGTACTTGGTTTGGGCTCCTTTTTTCAGCAATTACTGCCTCAATGCGGCGTGGCATGGAAGCTATCATCCTGTGGCACTGCTGAGGTGTTATGGAAGACCAGAATGCTTCAATAGTGGCCTTCAGTTCTTCTGCATTGTTCGGTCTCATGTCTATCATCTTTCTCTTGGCAATGTCCCATAGATTCTCTATGGGGTTCAGGTCAGGCGAGTTTGCTGGCCAATCAAGCACAGTAATCCCACGGTAATTGATCCAGGTTTTGGCAGTGTGGGCAGGTGCCAAGTCCTGCTGGAAAATGAAGTCACCATCCCCATAAAGCTCGTCTGCGGAAGGAAGCATGACGTGCTCCAAAATCTCCTGGTAGACGGCTGCGTTGACCCTGGACTTAAGGAAACACAGTGGACCAACACCAGCAGATGACATGGCTCCCCAAATCAACACAGACTGTGGAAACTTCACACTGGACTTCAAGCATCTTGCAGTGTGTGCCTCTTCATTCTTCCTCCATACTCTGGGTCCTTGGTTTCCAAATGAGATGCAAAAGTTGCTCTCATCGGACAAGAGGACTTTGGATCAATGAGCAACAGACCAGGTCTGTTTTTCTTTAGCCCAGGTAAGACGCTTCTGATGTTGTTTGTTGTTCAGTCCATGTCCAGGATCCGTCTGTGTGTGGTGGCTCTTGATGCACTGACTCCAGCCTCAGTCCACTCCTTGTGAAAGTCCCCAACACTTTTGAATGGCCTTTTCCTGACAATCCTCTCCAGGCTGCGGTCATCCCTGCTGCTTGTGCTCCATTTCTTCCACACTTTTCCCTTCCACATAACTTTCTATTAATGTGCTTTGATACAGTACTTTGGGAACATCCAACTTCTTTTGAAATTACCTTTTGAGGCTCTCCCTCCTTATGGAGGGTGTCAATGATGGTTTTCTGCCCAACTGTCTGGTCAGCAGTCTTCTCCATGATTGTGATTCCTACTGAACCAGACTGAGAGACCATTTAAAGGCTCAGGAACCCTTTGCAGGTGGTATGGCTTAATTAGCTGATTAGAGTGGGACACTTTGAGCCTAGAATATTGCACCTTTTCACAATATTCTAATTTTCTGAGATTGTGGATTTGGGGTTTTCATGAGCTGTAAGCCATAATCATCACAATTATGACAAATCACGGCTTGAACTATCTTGCTTTGCATGTAATGAGTCTATCTCATAAATTAGTTTCACCTCTTAAGTTGCATTACTGAAATAAATTACCTTTTGCACGATATTCTAATTTTTTGAGTTTCACCTGTAGTTACATAGTTACATACAGTAGTTAGTCTGATTGGAAAAAGACACAGGTCCACCCAGTTTAACCAATAGGGAAAAAAAAAAAAAGAAAAAAAATACAATCCTTTACACACAGTTCTATGCCCACAGTTGATCCAGAGGAAGGCAAAAGAATCCCAGTAAGGCATGACCCTTCCTGATCCCCCAAGAGGTAATTGGATATTCGCTGAGTCAACGTTACCTATAAATATTAGTATCCCACTATATTATGTGTATCTAGGAAAGAATCCAGACCTTTTTAAAATAATCTACTGAGCTGGCCAGAACCAACTCTTGAGGGAGTCTATTTCACATTTTCACAGCTCTTACTGTGAAGAAGCATGTCTGTATTAGGAGGTTAAATCTCTTTTCCTCTAGATGTAAAGAGTGTCCCCTTGTTCTCTGTGATGACCTTAAAGCAAATAACTCAATACCAAGTTCACTACATGGACCACTTATATATATTTATACATGGTAATCACCCCTCCCCCCCTTAATCTCTGCTTCTCAAGAGAGAATACATTCACTTCTTCTAATCTTTCCTCCTAGATGAGCTGTTCTGTGCATTTATACAGTGATCCACCAAGTGTGAAACTGATATTGAAAACAACAAAAAAATAATAAAAATGCTAATACATGATATACAGTATGGTATAGTAGTGAAAACGAGAATAAGGGATGCTGCAAACAGTGCCCAGATACACATTTTTACCTAATATATATTATAATAAATAGAGGTGCTATCCCTTTAAATATTTGATACCAAGTGTGTTCGGTACATACAGGTACCTATATATGCACCATAGCTGGCCGAGTAATCTGGTGGCCATCTTCACCTTCAAACACTATTGACCTCCTATAGTTTGGGGTCTTTACTTCCAGTAAGCAGATTTAAGCTGCATTTGGTGGAGGAGCATAGGGATCATTTTGGAGGATTGCTTGCACTTGTGGTTTACTTGATGCATTTTCAATGTCTTATTTTTTGGACTTGGAAATGGACTGAATCACTATATGGTGTTTACATAGTTCTATGTGTTTGCGTTGGAATATGTAATGAACACACTTGGTATCACGTATTTATTTAGTGCATTTACTTTATCATATGTATTTCCTGATGACTAACTGGACTGGATTAATTCAAACAACTTTGCATGAATACATTTATGACATGCTGAAATATGCAGCATCATTTTTCAACGAGCTGTAACCATATCACTAAAATGCAGTCCTTGATCAACATTTAAGTGAGGTGGCACAGGCTGATGTCTTAAGTTGGCTCTACACTGAGTAAATTGTGTCTGTTTCCGCATGAAGGTAGATTAGTGGATGGCCCCGTTGGCACCCTTCTGCTTGACATCCTTTGAATTAAAAATTAAAAGAGCTGGACATAAAATTGTCACCTGAATAGCAGCTGCATCCAGCAGTGTCAGCTGTCAGATTACAATAGCAGGCTTTCATCCATCTGCGCTGTATAGCATTGATGGAGGAATCTGTTAGATTTTCTTCATTCAGCCCATAGGATGAACAAAAACATATTAGCAATGTATAGCCAGTCTCCTGCAGACAGAAGGAAACATTTCTTCACTCTCTTCTACACCAGAGATCAGTCTGCATCATTGCAAGACATTTGTGAAGACACTTGAGTTCACATGACTGTGTCATCTCTGAGCCAACAGATAAAGACATTGTCAGAGGGAGTATCACAATCTCCACTGAAGTTAGATACCGGTAAGGATTACTCATAAAGTATAACTATATATAACAAAAAAAAAAGTGCAGCACTAAATAGTGTTAACCTCCCTAGCGGTCTGATTATGTCCATATTTCTGTGTTCAAAGCGGTAAATTTTTTTACATGGAAATAAGTCTTTTTTTTATTGTAGGCCTGTAATTTTTAGGAATAACTCACTGAAATTTGTCTGAACAAGAGTCTAGTAAACTTCCCGGGTATGTTAAAATTTGAAACACGAAATCAAATAAAGTATAATTTAATAAATAATCGTTAAAAATAATAATATAATAATAATAAATTTAATTCAATAATATAATCAAACCAAAAACACTGAAATTTGAAATATAGCTCCAAGTTCGCACATCACTGAGCAAAGTCGCAAAATAGTTTTCAGTGTCTGATGACGAATTTCCCCACGAATCATTATCACTCAGTTCTGCAAGTGGTTCTGATTTACTATCGCTGTTCTCTATCCTGTCTAAAACCGATTTTGACCTAAAGGGATGCTTTAGGCAGGGCACAGGACAAAGCACTAGGGACAAAATGTATGTGAAATGGTTTGATACAGTAATGTTTTACTATGTTATTTTAGTAAATTAGTGAATGTCACTTTTTGTCATTTTCAAATTTCCCACCGTTCTGTCCCCGTACGTCCCGACGTTGCAGGGGACGGAACCCAGAAGACAGATGCCGGCATCCGCCGGAGGACATTGCTGGCGACACTGCAGGAGGAACATCGCGGGAGTGCAGGACAAGGTAAGAGAAGAACAGATCCTGGAGCAGCGCCGCATGGTAAGCCCGAGTGTAGCTCGGGGTTACCGCTTGTGGTACTGAAACTTTACCCCGAGCTACACTCAGAATACCTCCATGGAGGTTAAAGTCCATGAATTGTATACAGAAGTCCATGCTCAAAAAAGCTTCTTAAATAAGTGAAACCAAACCATCAGAAGGGACGAAGAAACCCACATTCAGTGAATTAAAAAAGGAGGAAGATGACACCACTAAGATCTTGGTGAAAACTACAGACATACAGTTACGTATCGTATTGCGAAAAATTCGTAAACCAAAATGCAGTTTCCCATAGGAATGTATTGAAAAACAATCCGGAAATTGCATTTAAAAATCGGCACCGACATACACTTCGTATTACAATAAAAATATGTAAAACATTCGTAAACCGAGGCATTATTTTCAATGGATTTTCATTCGTAAACTGAAAATTACGTTAACCGAGGCATTCGTAAATCAAGGTACACCTGTACTGTATAAGAGCTCTTACCAGAGCTATTGGGCTTTTGTATTAAAAAGCCTATAGAGCTTTAGAGGTTAACCCCATAGTTCGACGGTCCATAGTGCTGAGAAGGTTCTGCCTTTGGCTCCAGCTCTGTATTTCCTTTTTTTTTAAAAGATATATTTAAAGATATATTTATTGGATTTTGTACAACATACAGGAAAAAAAACAGAAACAAAAAAGGACATAGAAAGTCCTACTTAGTGAACACGTGTAGCCTTAGTGTAGCCAACATGGTGCCATCAAAACAGGGAGAATGATATAGAGTAAGTAAATAGTAACAATGAACAGCTAGTGTTCTGGATCCGTATTGGTGGCTGGTTAGGGCTGTCCAGCCAACATCCCCAGACATTCTCAAAGAGCCTAGGGCATTTACGAAGCTCACAGGTTAAGCTGTACAAGGGTAAGTTACTATTGATCATAGCTTTCCAGGTTTCCAGAGTCAAGGGAGGGGCTCCCTTCTAAGACCGGAGTATAATTTTCTTTGCATAGAAATAAAGGAGCCATAATAGCTGTTTAATATATTTAGAAACAGGTAAATCCCCCAAAATTCCCAGAAGGCAATTCTTAGGATGCATAATATTGGGCAATCCTAGGGCAAAAGAGATTAAAGTATTGACTTCTGACCAGAATGCAGAGAGACTGTAGGACAATACCATAGACAATGGAAGAAGTGCTTGTCCACCCCACAGCCCCAGAAACAAGCTGGTGCGGAACACAGACCCAGTTTGTGCAATCTGACAGGAGTGTAATTGCTATGGTGGAATAGTTTGACCTGAACAATACGATCTCTAAAGGCAATAATTGTTTTAGTATAGTATAATTCAGATTCAGACCAATCTGACTAATCCAGTGAGAGGCTAGGCAAAGTCCATTTCAGCTGAGCTCACGCATAGCGAGGTCTAGCCTTAGCACATAACTCCAAGTAGTATTCAGAGATAAGTCTATCTGGGCCCCAGGATCTAAGGAGCTTTTCTAAAGGGGATATGCTGGTGGGATTAGTCAAGGAGCCAAATTGTTTCTGAATAGCATGTCTGAGTTGGTAATAATTTACTATTTACTTAATTTAAAGTAAGTAGCAGGGAGACAAAAATCAGCCTGTAGTTGGGTAAAGGTTGACCTGTATAGAGGTGTTGCAAATATTTAACTCCCTTAGCCGACCAGCAATGGGGGTTGGGGATAGAAAGTAGTTCAGAAAGAGCAGGGTTATGCCAAAGTGGAGTGTTTGGAGAGGTACGCCAAATAGAGTCCTATAACCACTTTTGAATTTTGGACAGTAACGTAAGGGAAAGCAAGAGAACCGAGGTGCGTTCAGAGGTGGGGACTGTGTGCCTATAAGCCAGATTATGTAGGGTTTCATAGGAGGAGACAATAGCTGCCTCTACTTCAGTGCCGGCGTTGCCAGGGGAGGGGACCAGCCAGTCATGGATGTATACTAATTGAGAGGCTAAATAATAGTAGTAAAAGTCTGTAATGGCCAAGCCGGCCATGTGGGTGGGATGTTTAAGGATCTCTAAGGCTACTCTGGGGCATTGACGTTTCCACAAAAAGTTCCTAAACATATAGTCTATTTGTGTGAAAATACTCAGCGGGATTCTACATGAGGAATTAGCCATGACATACAAAAACTTAGGGAGAAAAATCATTTTGATAAGGTTCATCCTCCCCAGCAAGTCCAGAGGGAGATCCATCCACTGCCCAACCTTAGCTTGCAAGAGGGACACCAGGGGAAAGACATTGTTAACAAGGTAAAACCATAGTGGCAGTTGTATAGTCACTCCTAGGTATCGGAAAGACTCCACTATTTGTACACATGAGTCTGAATGGACACAGTGCACTGCCCCTGGATCTAGGGCAGGGGTCTGCAACCTTTAAGACATAAAGAGCCACTTGGACCCGTTTCCGAGAGGGAAAAAAAGACTGGGAGCCGCAAAACCATTGCAACATTTAAAACAAATCCGACACTGCATATATTGCAAAAAGCGCTTTGGTCATGAAGGGGGTTTAAGAGCCCAGTAAGCAAAGGGTTAATCAGGGCCACAGTGTATCGTCATAATCACAATCATAGCCTTAGTCAGTGGTGGGCAGCCTTTTTTTCAACTGAGCCAAATCTCGCCAAAACCACGATTGAAATGTATTTTGAGAGCCACATTTTTAAAACTGAAAATACATCCCCCATATAGTAATTCATCCCCCATAGTAATTCATCCCCCACAGTAATTCATCCCCCATATAGTAATTCATCCCCCATATAGTAATTCATCCCCCATAGTAATTCATCCCCCATATAGTAATTCATCCCCCATAGTAATTCATCCCCCACATAGTAATTCATCCCCCATAGTAATTAATCCCCCATATAGTAATTCATCCCCCATAGTAATTCATCCCCCATAGTAATTCATCCCTCATATAGTAATTCATCCCCCATATAGTAATTCATCCCCCATAGTAATTCATCCCCCATATAGTAATTCATCCCCCATAGTAATTCATCCCCCACATAGTAATTCATCCCCCATAGTAATTAATCCCCCATATAGTAATTCATCCCCCATAGTAATTCATCCCCCATATAGTAATTCATCCCCCATAGTAATTCATCCCCCATATAGTAATTGATCCCCCCTATAGTAATTCATCCCCCATATAGTAATTCATCCCCCATATAGTAATTCATCCCCCCTATAGTCATTCATTCCCCATATTGTGTCAATTCACTTACCTTTGCTCCGCGCGTTCCTCTCGCCGTGTTCCCGCGCCGTTCCGGTCTTCAGGGCGGACTGTGAGAGGAGAGGAGTTCGTCACGCTGCCCCCGCCTACATCCTGACAGCCAATGTTTGCCATGCTCCGCGGGCCGGATTAAAAGGTCCGCCGGGCCGTAGTTTGCCCATTGCTGGGCTAGCTGCAGAGTCCTGACTTTTGGGGCGGCCGCCCGAGAGGAGGGAGGGGAGCGGGCGCCCCGGCACACAGAAGACCCTATTGCCTGTCACCTGGTGGGCAGTGTGCTCCGGAGCCGCAGCAAAGGTGAAAAAGAGCCGCATGCGGCTCTGGAGCCGCGGGTTGCCGACACCCGATCTAGGGGAAACAGGAACTCTGTATTTCCTCCGGTAAATCATGAAAGGAATAAACACTGATAATGTAGTATGCGCAAAACGTGAAAACTTATTAGGAATAAATGAATGCATTTACATTGGTTAAAAGATATATCGCCATCTAAAACTGATCCTGGAGCTGCAGCACCTCCAATGTGTAAACCACGTAGTGTGGTGATGTCACCTGAAGTTCCACCCTGGTGGTAGTATTAGTGCCTACTTTAAGGTGGCTATAGATGGATCGAAATTCAGCTGGTTCAGCAGGGACCCATGGCTGTTCCCATTCATGAGAAGTCAGTCTACTAGATCTACTTCTCGCAAACAGACTTGCTGTAAATTTGTTGTTCAATCAGAGCTGCAGCCAATCAGCTGCAAAGCTGATCAGTGTATTCTGACAGTGGAAGAGTCTCCGCTGTCAGAATACAATAATCGTTTGTGTAGATGAGGGAATCCTGCTGGCTGATCAAAAAAATTGACCCATGTTTGGGCAGCTTCACACTTAAAGCGGAGTTCCACCCTTTTTTAATGTCCCTCTGATAGCACTGTTCCTGTGGTGTCCAACACAATTAGAATAATCATATATATTTTTTAATATTGTAAATACTTTTAAATCATGTGCAAAGACTGCACTTCCGGTCCCAGTCCCGATCGCCCAGGTGATGACGTATGAAGGCAATTCGCAAAGTCTCCTGGGATGTCAGGTTCTGTATCCCAGGAGTCCTTTGGGTTGTTGACTATCGCTTTAATTCAAAACCGGAAATTCCTTTCAGCAGTGTCATTACTGTGCAGACGCGAGATCGAGTGATGCATGATGGGATAGTCAGCAGCACCAAATCCAGGAAAGATATACTTGCGGGCTTCAGATGCCCACATCCATCATGACGTCTGCCTGCTTCCGAGATCAAGGTAAATTTTTTACTTATTTAAAACTAATTAGAAGACTATAAAAAATAACTTTATCCATTTAATAATGTTAAAGAATAAACAATACTGAGTCAGCTTTTAAAATAAATTTGTTATTCAGACTGGGGCTGAACAAAAAAAAAACAAACCAATTCCTCCATCCACAGAAGTCGATCAAATGATTGACTGCTGTCAAGCGGGGATGGCCACAAACTAATCAAAATTCACCCAGTCCCTGATATACCAGCTGAATTTTCATCAGTGTCTGACTAGCTTTACACATGTTTGCACTTAAAGAATATGTAAACCCAACATTTTATCTTCTTGATTTGTGCATGCTGTACCATTTTATGAAAAAAAAATATCCTCTTCTCTTTGTATTTCTTCCTTTGTGTGAAATTCCTGGTGTCCCTGCCAGTCCCTCTGCTTTCCTATTACAAACTGACCACACTAGGCATGAACGCACAGCACGACCAGTTTTCTTCTCTTCTCCAGTGATCAGGCTTGTGCTGACACGCCTCCCCCTACACAGCACAGAAGATCAGTGTGCTACTGTTTCCCCACCCCTAGCTCCTGCTGCAGCTGAGAACAGCTTATCACATATAAATTACTTTAAAACTAGGAAATAGAGGTATCTACAGTATGTTTTTTTTAATATGTAAACACAAATGTTTTGCCTTTCATTTCTATTTTAACCTCCCTGACGGTATTCCCGAGTGTAGCTCGGGGTAACATTTCAGTACCAAAAGCGGTAACCCCGAGCTACACTCGGGCTTACCCTGCGGCACTGCTCCGGCAAGTGTTCTTCACTTACCTTACCCTGCGCTCCCACGATGTGTCCCCTGCAGCGTCCCCGGCCATCTCCTCCGGCCGATGCCGGCATCCGGCTTCTGTGTCCTGTCCCTGTGACGTCGGGACGTACGGGCGCCGCCGCCGGCGGGAAATTTAAAAATTTTAAAAAAATTCTTTTTTTTTTACATTTTACACAGTAAAACATTGCTGTTTCAACCTATTTCACATACATATTGTCCCTAGTGCTTTGTCCTGCGCCCTGCCTGCATTTTGTCTGTTCTTTCTGCCTGGAAACTGAGAAATGTCCATGGCGTCCAAAAAGTGTCCCTTTAGGTCAAAAGCGGTTTAGACCAGCTAGAGAACAGCGATAGTAAATTAGAACCACTTTCAGAATTGAGTGATAATGATTCATGGGGGAAATTCGTCATCAGAAACTGAAAACGATTTTGTGACTGAGCTCAGCGATGTGCGAACTTGGCGCTCTATTTCACATTTCAGTGTTTTTGGTTTGATTATATTATTGAATTAAATTTTTTATTATTTTTATATTATTTTTATGATTATTTATTAAATTATAATTTATGATTTTGTGTTTCAAATTTTATCATACCCGGGATGTTTACTAGACTCTTGTTCGGACAGATTTCAGTGAGTTTTTCCTAAAAATTACAGCCTACAATAAAAAAAAATATTTCCATGCAAAAAAAATGGTACCGCTTTAGCACAGCAAAAAATCTGAAATAATCATACCGCCAGGGAGGTTAAGTTGAATGGGTTGTTTTACATGTTTACACATACATTTCCGCATGTACTTTAACATGAAAAAATAAATCTTGGTTCCAGGTCCACTTAAAGTAAATTGAATCAGTTTCTGAATGGGGTAGAGCTGCTGATATGCAGATTTAGTTGTCCTACATTAGAAACCCAGCATGATTTCATGTCTGTGCCTGTCCTAATTGGAAGTCATTGAGAGTCATCAGGAGCCCTGCTGTGTAACTTACCACCCCCCCCCCCCCCCCAAGCCAATTAAAGCTGTAACATGACATGTGGCCAGAATTCCTCTACATGACTATAGAAATATTGGGACCCCATAAAATTGTGTTTTTTTTTATAGAAGGAGTTGTTGCATTGGGTCAAATTAGGTGGATATGCTTGGGCCTAAATTGGATCTAAATTATCTTGAAGAGTTCTTTAAACCGCTTCCCCTCCACCCTATAGCAGAAATACTGCTCAGGGCAGCAGGTCTGCGCAAAATCATATATATAAATATGTGTGTGTGTGTGATTTACATTTCTGGGTAGGGGGTGAGCGCGTGTTGCCCTACCCGTGCCGCCCATGGCGACTACAGGTGTCAATCACCGGCTTTCTCCGCCGGCACCCGGTGATTGCTGAGTATCACTGACAGGGGAGAGACCTGTGTGTCAACAACTCAGGTCTCTTTCCTGCCAGGAAGGATATGCAGCTGTGTATTTCTCTGTGGAAAAAAAGGACATACATTTTATTTATATACAGAGTTTGCATGACCTCGCAATTGTCAGTTAAAGTAATGGAGCGCTGTATCGCAAAAAAATGGCCTGGTCAGGAAGGTGGGTGGGGGGGGGGGGTAAAATCCTCTGGAGGGCAAGTGGTTAAATCAAAGACACTTGTCCTTCTTCCTATAATTCTTCCTATCAGGGGCGGACTGACCATTTGGAAACTCGGGCACTGCCTGGGGGCCCAGGGTCAGTAGGGGGCCCCATGAGATGCCCTGGTACCTTTTTCATAGGCTTTTTTGAGTTTGGCAAGGATACAGGGGCCCCATGATCCCCTATTGCCCAGAAGATCCATGAGTTGTCAGTCCGCCCCTGCTTCCTATAATGGTTGCTTCAATCCATCTGCAATGTCCAATGATCCCATTAAATGATAGTAAACACTTTGGCACCCCATTTCAACACCTATACAAGACACAATGTACATTTTGGGACTCTAAAAGTATGGCTATTAAGACACTCTACTGAATTTTGTCGAAAAAAGTCCGCCAAGCAAGCAAGCTAGTTTTTTTAATAGTTGGGAACCTCTGGAGTAAGATTGCTTCTGCAGATCTGATTCTCTGAGCTTCACCCCAAAGTTCTTCTTTTGTTAGAGAGTGAAGGTAAAATGCAGCTTTGATACACATCAGTGAATAAAAGAGAGCTTCATAGACAGAAGCTGCATTGTGTTCTCCGCTGAAAACCACGCCTGCTGCTCAATTTCTATTTCTCAAGAGAAACTGGAAGTCTCATTATCTCAAATCACTTCTTATGGAAGAGGCGGATTGAGGAGCAGAAATGTGTAAGTTCCCAAAAGAATAAACTGCTAAGCCATACTGTAAAATAGGCTCTTACATGGGAAAATGTGCAGGGCTGTCCTGGTAAATTATGAGCCAAATGCTTTGACATGGCATCATTTCATGTGACATCCAAATTGCAGATCCATACGCCCCTGCTGTGTCACGGCTCTGTGCGACTGTCCTTAGATCACATCTTAAGACTGCCTTGCCTGTCACCACTGTGTTCTATGAGCCTCTTTCATGTGCTGTCACTGTACAGTCTCCATACATCACACACCACAGCCTTTGTAAATTTATGTAAATTTATATGACTGAAGCTGGGACCACAGAAAAGTGAATGTAAGTACATTATTTTACCGCCATTAAATACTTTGTTACCTCTTCAGTACCACAGCACATTAAGAACTGAAGGGGTAATCAAATTGGATATTACCTTTTCCTTTTCATAAGTGGTTTTGGGAAACGTCTGTCTTTTTTTTAACCACTTGCACTCCTGAGGATTTACCCCCCTTCCCGATCAGGCCATTTTTTGCAATACTTTCGTTGTGTTACTTTAACAGACAATTGCGCGGTCATGCAATGCTGCACCCAAATGAAATGTATGTCCTTTCCTTTTTCCCATAAATGGAGCTTTCTTTCAATGGTATTTTATTGTCTCTTCGGTTTTTATTTTATGCGCTATAAACAGAAAAAGACCGACAATTTAAAAAACAAACGTACAATATTTTTTACTTTTTGCTATAAAACATATCCAGTAAAAAAATAAAAAATATAAAATTTCATCATAAATTTAGGCCAAAATGTATTCTACTCCATGTCTTTGCTAAAAAAAATTCCAAATTCGTGTAAATTAATTGGTATACGTGAAAGTTATAGCGTCTACAAATGATGGTATATATGCTGGAATTGTTTTTTTTTTTTCATAATAGTAATGGCAGGCATTCTGACACTGTGAGGGAACTGACATCTCCAATGACACTAATACAGTGATCAGTGTTAATAAAAAGCACTGGCACTGTACTAATGTCACTGGGCAGGAAGGGGTTAACATCTGGGGTGATCAAAGAGTTAACTGTGTGCTGTGTGAGCAATACAAAGCAGAATGCTGGTGCTGACGGGGGGGGGGGGGGGGGGGGGATCTGTATTCTTTTACATACTGTACAGACCTCTCCCCTGTTAGTGTTCCTCGGTGATCGCTGGGTGCCGTCAGGAAATCACCAGCTGGGACACGGTGATGAACAGTTGTAGCCACCAATGGAGATGTGGGTGAAATACAAAATCATGTATATATACGTGATTTTGCACAACCCTAGTTTCTGCTATAGGGCGGTCGGGAAACGGTTAATATATATCCACAATTTTATATACATTCACAATTTTTTAGAACTATATTAAAGATTTATGAGATGCCTTGTCAGCCTACTCTTTCTGGGGCTGAGACACACCAATCTAAGTGTAGATTTCCATAAAACACATATTTTAACCACTTGCCTACCAGGCACTTATACCCCCTTATTTACCAGGCCAATTTTCAGCTTTCAGCGCTGCCGCACTTTGATTGACAATTGCGCGGTCATTCAACATTGTACCCATATGAAATTTTGACCATTTTTTTCTCACAAATAGAGCTTTCTTTTGGTGGTATTTAATCGCCACTGGGCGCTTTACTTTTTGCGCTATAAATAAAAAAATGCAAAAAATTTGAAAAAAAAAAGTTTCTTTGTTTCTATTATAAAATTTTTCAAACAGGTATTTTTTCTCCTTCACTGATGTGCGTTGATGAGGCAGCACTGATGGGCACTGATAGGCAGCACTGATGGGCACTGATAGGCAGCACTAAAGGGCACTGATAGGCAGTACTAATGAGGTGGCACGGATAGGCGGCACTGATAGGCAGTACTAATGAGGTGTCACGGATAGGCGGCACTAATATGCAGCACTGATAGGCGGCACTGATAGGTGACACTGATGATGGGTACTGATAGACGGCACTGACTGGCATCACTGCTGGGCACTGACTGGCGGCACTGACTGGCACAACCCCCTGGGCACTGACTGGTGGCACTGACTTGCAGCACTGCTGGGCTGCACTGGTGGGTGGCACTGGTGGGCAGCACTGGTGGGTGGGCACAGGTGGGTGGCACTGGTGGGCACAGGTGGGTGGGCACAGGTGGGTGGCACTGCTGGGCACAGGTAGGTGGCACTTCTGGGCACAAGTAGGTGGCACTGCAGAGTGGCACAGGTGGGTACACTGCTGGGCACAGGTGGGTGCACTGCTGGGCACAGGTGGGTGATCTGCTGGGCACAGGTGGGCGGAGCTAGTGGGCGCACTGCTGGGCACAGGTGGGCGGAACTTGCAGGTGGCACTGCTGGGCACCGATCATCAGGGCACTGATCATCAGTGCCCTGATGATCGGTGCCGATCCCCGCTCTGACAATTGCCAGTTCTCGGCAGTACTTTCCTCACGATCTGACAGCGTGAGGAAAGTGCAGCCGAGAACCGGCACTTGCATTTCCCTCTGATCAGCGTGTCATTGGACACCGCTGATCACGTGGTAAAAGGCCGCTGTGATTGGCCTTTTACCACATCACGTGATCAGCTGTGTCCGTAGGACACAGCGATCACAGAGATCGCCGGGTGCGCGCCCCCTGGGGCGCGCAGGAGAGCGCGTTCTGGGAGGACGTCATATGACGTCCACCCAGAACTGGCCGGCCGCAGTGCAGCCGTCATTCGGCTATCTGCGGTCGGCAGCTAGTTAATAAAGGCAAACAACTCACAAGGGTAGAATGTAAAAGTGCATATGGACAGAAAGCAGCTTCCAGTGGTGCCAGTTGTGGAACTGTATGCTATGTGGTCCTCCTCGTCTTGGCCGTGCTGTTGAATTCCAGAGCTCCAGGGGTAGCAGAGAGACACGGGGTGGCTGACAGCTGTGACAGCGGCGAGCGTTTGGAGCATGTGCGTTCCTTCCTCAGGCCATGGAGTTGCCATATTAAGTGTGGTTTAACGGACAGCCGGGCAGTCAGATTAAAAGGCTCAGCATGCTGCTAGCGCAGTCCTCTCAACAAACTAATAAAAAAGTGCCCCCTTACCCTTTCTAGGGTCCCAAGTTTCCTTGTTTTAGGGCCAGTTCTTGTGCGATTCCTGTGCCTGCCTGCCCCGCACAAAAAGAGCATGTGCTGTGCAATTTTGGTTTAACAGCCCATTAAAAGCGCACAAAAAAGTTAGTGCCCCCTTACATGCACTACTTTTTGTTTTAGGGCTGTGTACCATGTGATCTAGTGCCCATGCAAACGCAAACTGTGCATTGATCTAGTGCAATGCATTTGCAATCTATGTTTGGGGTGCCATTACAATGAATTGGCAGCCACAGCAGATTGCAAAGGCAGTGTGTTTTGAACGCGGTGCGGGAAACGCGCACCAAACACGTCTTTCTCGCACTGCATTCTGTTGGGAACTGGTCATTAAGTCCTTATGCACACTGGACGCTTTGATAATGCTGGTAGCATTAGCGTGTAAAGTCACGTTAAAAACGTAAGTTTTTAAGCTTTTTTTAGCATTTTTGCATTGGCG